AATTTTGATCTTTCTGACTCGTACCGATCAGGAAGAGCAACAACTTTAGACAATGACATGTTAAGGGCGGAAGTGGAAGCAAATCCGTGTCAGACAATCGAGGAACTGTCAAACACTTTTAACCAACTTTAGTCGGCCATCCAAGAACATTTGCAGCAGATTGGTAAAGTAAGCAGAGCAGGTGTTTGGATCCTGCATAATCTGTCCGAAAAAAACAAAGCTAACCGATCCACCATATGCAACTTATTGCTTCAGCGGCACAATACAGAAGCGTTTTTTGATCGCTTGATCATTGGAGATGAAAAATGGGTCCTCTATGATAATCCAAAATGCAAAAGGCAGTGGCTCTCTCCGAATGAATCGCCACAAAGTACAGCTAAGCCAGGTTTACACACCAAAAAGGCGCTTTTGTGTGTTTGGTGGAGTATTCGCGGGGTCGTTCATTTTGAAGTGCTGAAACATGGACAAACTGTAAATGCAGACCTTTACTGTGAACAATTGGATCGAGTAAATTAATCTTTAATTGAAAAGTACCCAGTGATTGTCAACAGAAAAGGCGTTATTCTGCAACACGATAATGCAAGACCGCACTGCGCAAGACGAACCCTGGAAAAAATTAATGAATTGGGTTGGGAGGTATTGCCTCATCCACCATACTCGCCCGATATTGCGCCATCGGTTTTCCTTTTATTCCGATCGCTGCAACATTTTCTAAGTGGCAAAAAATTTGAAAATTTGAATGATGCCCAAAATGCCATCTCCAGATATTTTGCTAAAAAATCAATTGATTTTTATCGATCCGACATTAAAAATTTTCACACTAGATGGCAAAAGGTTGTTGATAACGAGGATGATTACATCATTGATTAAAAATTAAAACTTGTTAAAAATTTATCTGTTTGAATTTAATGTGAAAAAACGACATTACTTTCCGGTCCCCCTAATATATGATGTTTTACATCTGACTATTTCAAAGTAATCTTGTCGGTGGAGCTATCTTTTGAAAACGGCGGAAACTTATTTGTATTACTAATACGTTCTGAGATCGGAGTAAATGAGCCTCTTCGGACTTTGACCTGATTCGCAGACCTGCCAATATGTTTAGGCCTCGCGAGTGCGCGAGTATGCGATGTTTGTTGCGTACATCCTCTTCCAGGATGTAAGAATAGGTCTATTTCAAAAATGTAGTCTATCGGAATAAACTGACGACAAGAGATGATATGAAAGAGAGAATCCGAATTGTGTGCAACATTTTACATGATATACTTTTAGATAAAAATGCGATAATTCTAGGACAATATAAATATACGAGAGTAGATTGAAAAGTTTCCGACCTGACTAAGAAAAAAATATTTTTATTAACCAAATGAAATTATTTCTCAACATAGTCTTCCTTTAATTCAATACATTGGGCTAACGTTTTTCTAGATCTTTCATTCCCTCAGTATGATAACTTTTGTCTAAACCCGAAAAATAGTCATTAACGTCACTTAATACTTTAGCATCTGACGAAAATTTCTTCCCAGATAGTTATTTTTTAAAATTTGGAAACAGGAAATAGTCGGACAGGGCCAAATCTGCAAATGTGTAATTAATTCCTACTTCAGTTCATACAATTTCGTCATCGCAACTGCTAATTTGTGGGCCGATGCATTGTCCTGGTGAAAGAGGATGTTCTTTTTGGCTAAATGCGGACGTTTGTTTTTTATTTCCATTTCTAAACATTGTAATACCTCAGCATAATATTCTTCGATGATTGGTTTATTTTTTCCCAGATAATCCACAAAAATTATCCCATGGGAACCCCAAAAAACTGTGTCCACCACCTTACCAGCCGACGGAACAGCTTCCGTTTCTTTTCGGAGTCGGTTTGTTCTTTGCAGTCCATTGCTTTGACTATTATTTTGTCTTTGGAGTGTAGTGGTGGACTCAAGTTTTGTCGACAGTAATAAAACGCCGTAAAAAATCA